TCCAGATTACCTTCACGGTGGGTTGTGTTGTGATTTTCGGATTATACTCTACTCGAAAACACACAAAAAATTATATTTTCCGTCCTTTTCATCCCAAAATTTTAATCTGATCATCACCGAAAATTGTAGGCGTTGTTCTTGACCAAAACTGGAACTTCATGAAAAATTTCAAAGCCATCAGCGCGATATTTCTCCCTCTAATATGGTAATGGGTTACTAAATAATATCTGAATACGTAAGCACCTGTAAATAGTTGACTGTAACTCCCACATCTGAGTAGATACATCACTATATTTGGTATGAATTTAAAGGCCAACGACTCCTCTTGGATATGCTATCAACTCCTGGGGTCTACATCCTCCAGGAGTAAATATATATGCCATAGAATACAAATTTTGTCATTTTTCACACAAAAGTCAGGGTCCATTTGACCCGCTAAATATTGACCGATCTTTATCAAAACATGCATGCTTATTCTCTGGCCCGATACCCTTCTCCATGCAAAAATTCGCGGTGTTTGGGCCATAATTGCGGCCTCTGGAGCGACCAGAAAAACCGACAAAAATTTAGTATTTGGTCCATTTCATCCCCTAAATATTAACCGATCTTTTCCAAAAACAATAGGGGTCTTCATTGGCCAGAACCCATCCTACATGCAAAATTTCGTGAAAATTGGTCCATAACTGTGGCCTGTATCGTGTTTACAAATTATAATGGACAGACGGACGGACGGACGGACACACATGTGTAGATCGACTCAGCTAGTCGAGATATGACGATCGGTATACTTAAAGGTGGGTCTAGGACCAATATTTCGCGGCGTTACAAACATTTGGGGCTGCACAAAGCTATAATACCCTGACAACATAGTTGTGTAGGGTATAATAAGGAAGATCTTCACCGATTGGCTTTATCCTAGTTCATACGATAGCTATACACTCACAGAGAAACGTGTAAAAATTTGGAATCGATTAGGTTATTAGCTTTTGAGTTATCGTGCCCGCCATTCACAAAAGAGAAAAACGCGTTTAAAGTTTGAGAAGCCCTTTAGCCGTCACTTGATGCTGACACAATAAATCGGCTATATCTTCAAGAGTTCTTGAGATTTTCACTTGAAATTTTGTAGAGACATTGTTGAATTAGTGTAGAATCAAATTAAATCGAAAAAAATTTTGACCCCGAGAATGGGGGGTCCCCTTAAATCAAACTATTCATTATGCTACATCATAGAGCGCTTCTCAAGATATAATCTCCAGTTCATCCATAATCATCAGTCTATTATTCAGTGTACCCTTTCATTCTTTGGTGCATAATTTGCTAAAAATCGGACAAAAATTTAGGCGAGGGACTTGCTCAACTCCTCGCCGTGATGAGGGAGTTAAGAACTCAACACTCAATATATAGAAACTATATCTAAATCTGAACCAATTTTTCCCAATTTCAATAGGGCTCGTCCTTGGGCCAAATAAATGAGCTGTGCCAAATTTCATCCAATTCGGATAATAAATGCGACCTGCGCTTTGTTTCCAATTTTACACGGACAGACAGACGGATATGCATAAATGATCTGATATGCATAAATCGACTCAGAAAGTGATTCTATGCATAATCTCAAAAGGAACCTTTTGCCTGTTACAAACATATTCACAAAGACATAATACCCTGTACCACAGTGTGGTAAAGGGTATAAAAATTACAGCCAGTAATTTTTTTCTATCGCGATTTCAACAGACGGACGGACATACAATATATTCAAACTGAAATCGATATATGGCCATTCGGCAGAACAACGCCTGCTTAGTCATGAAATTTAGGTTCGATTGGATCGGTTTATGTTTCTTTTACCATATCATAGTATTCATATTTTAATGAGTTTATGCCTAGGATTGGATAAAATCTTAAATCTTCCAGTGTGTATTGCAGACGTTTGGGGTCTGCTTGAAATCTGCCAGCGACATCTCACTCTTCTCAGTATAGTGGCGGCCGCTTAGTTTCCGTATCACAGCTTTACTATTGATCCTTCACAAGTAAGTACTCCATGTTTGGTGATTTAGTCGACTCGTGGAGCACATTATCTTTGACAACGCTTGTGTACTTGGGTGCGGGGTAACCTTTGTCTCCGAACTTTTGCTGCATTTGAACATTAACGTTTTTTTGGCCGTTATCACGCTTGTTTTATTGGCATGAGTTTGAACTTATATAACTTAATACCTTCAGTTTTACGATCCTTTAATATGAGCATTGGCAACATAATTTCTCTAAATTCATTCTTGTTTTTTGTAATTAAAGAAAAGTCCCTATTTTTGATGGCGGGCATGATAACTCCTCACTGGAACATCGGAATCCTAAAATTCCAACGGTGTTGGAAAGTGTACATGTCTGGCTCTCGCATAAACTAGGATTATTGACTTCGCTCTAAAATTAACAAAATAGTGGACCTTTGAAAAAATATTTTGGGATAATCGCCGATTTTTTACCAAAAACCAAGTTAAAAAATAAGGAAGATCTTCACCGATTGGCGATAGCTATACACTCACAGAGAAACGTGTAAAAATTTGAAATAGATTGGGTTATTAGTTTTTGAGTTATCGTGCCCGCCATTCTCAAAAAAAATGTTTAGAGAAAAACGTGTTTAAAGTTTGAGAAGCCCTTCAGCCGTCACTTGATGCTGACACAATAAATCGGTTATATCTTCAAGAGTTCTTGAGATTTTTACTTGAAATTTTGTAGGGACATTCATTAATTAGTGCAGATTCGAATTATATCAACAAAATTTTTGACCCCGAGAATGGGGGGGTCCCCTTAAGTCTGTTTTAGGTTTTGATACAAATCTTGGTTTTCTAGAAAAGTTTACAAAACATATTACGCTATATATTATATCATCTTGTCACAAACAAAATTAATAGCACTTAACAATATTTTTGAAACAAATGACTCATGTATAAAATACACCTCCACAAAAACTGGTCATAAAATTGTTATCTTACACAACTACCACAGAACTAAAACTTCCTACGGATTTACATTACGAGCCTTGGCAATATTTCGCGATAAATGTACCCTCTTGGCAGATTACCCTGGTATTTTTTCGACCAACTTTTTCTTGTAGGGAATATCTTCACCATAAGATTCAAATTTCGTTGATTTGACCCGCTAACTATTGGCCAATCTTTAACAAAACAGTCATTCCAATTAGTTGGTCGACTTATAAATGTAGCCTCCCAAGCAACTAGAAAGCCAATAAGTTTTCTGTCCATAAATTTCATCTGATCATCACACAAAATTAAATTATCGTCATAAAAATTGGTTGATCATAACCAAAACTTGTAAAATTTCAAAACCTTAATCATCGTCATATTTTCGCCGTCTAGTGTGGTAATAGTATTACTAAAGAATATTGGAATAAGTAGATGCCTCTAAAAATTTACGTATAACTCCCATATCCGTGTGCATATAATAATGTAAATTGTATCAATTTTAATGCCAACCACTCTTCGTTGTCATTTTTCACTCAAAAGAGTTGGTCCATTTGAACAGCTATATATTAATTTCTTGATACTATGGTCATAATTGTGACCTCAAGAGCGACCGAAATTACAGACAAAAATGCCTTTTTTGGTCTTTAGATCCCCTAAAAATTTACCAATCGTTACTAAAAATATGATTCGGTCGGAAACCGATTTATATGCTAAATTTCGTGTATTTACAAATTATAATGGACAGATAGACGAGCACACATGTCAGCATCGTCTCAGCAAGGACCAATATTTCGCGGTGTTACCAAATTTTGTTACCTTACCCTTTTTGCCCTTCATCGTTTCTTCATACGGCTGTCTCTTAGTGTATAGTGTGAAGATACTTCTTTCCCGGTTAATACCATGACGTATAACACATTGTCGTATGATTACATTAAATGTAAAAATTATCCTCCCTACAAATTCTAATTTGTTATATTTGTTGGATTTTAACAACGATGTTCGTATTTTAAGATTCTTATAATGCACAAACACTTAAATGTCAAAGGATGCAAAATGAGCAACAACCAATCCACCAACTTATCTGCAGTTCTGCATCCGGTAGTTCTTATATTTAATGATTTCAATTTAATTTACCCCGATATTTTCCGTTAGTGTCAAATACGGACACAATTATTTACATCACGTTGTGAAATTTTAAATAAAAATATTGCAATTACAATAATTTAATATTGACACAAATAATGTTATAGCTCGTAGATAATTTTAATTATAAATCTTCATTAATTCAACATTTTATTACAAAGCCTATGGTGGAGCGACTAGTTGCGAAGAAGAACAGCACTACTCATGGACAGTGTGGGTAAATTTCAAATGCCTCATAAATTGTTACACTTAATATCGACAACTTTTTTGTTTTGAAATGACAAATGTATTAGTGAGACCAGTAGCTGGAACTGGCCTGATATTGAGAATTACTTGCAGCACACAACAGTGAAATCTCTGTAATTGTAGATAAACCTCCCTATTTGAGGTATTTTGACAGTTATGGGCGATTTTTTCCAAACGAAGTGACATTATGGGTTGGTAATACGTACAAAAACTTTTCGCAGCAACATTTCAATCTAGGTCCTGATTCTATTTTTGGCATTTTGAAAGTTCCAAACTAACTTCTAATCGATATCGATTCGGCACTCTAAATCGTTTGTGGGTAAAAAATTGCAAAGGTTGAGACCTCAGAAATTGCATTTTATTATCGAGATCAGACTGTATTTGGAATTGAAACATCATCATTAAACAGATGTATGCGTAGACGAATAATCAACCAGTCAATGGGTGACTTATAATCGATTGAATATCACTTATTATCAGAAATATCATATTGTGCACTTGCATCTCAGCCGTAACAGCGCCAGCTTCAAGTCTTTTATAGCTAAGCTCATTAGTATAAATAGACGGATAATCATTACAATCGTTTCATTTCAAATATTTTTTTCAAATAACAAGAATATTGCGAAACGAAAACGCAATGCAACGATTATTGAGGCCTTGGGTGCGTACTTACATAAGCTGCAAGATTTAACATCGGCATTTTATTAAACAGGATTTTTTGTTTAAATCGGAATTATTTTTATTATTCTCTTTTTAGTTATGCCTACTGCTATTGGCAGTGTTCATTGCAGCAGTTAAAGCCCAAAACGATGGTCGATACAGACCGCCAACAAGGCCACCGACAAGGCCAACACCGAAATCCGATGGTCGTTATCGCCCGGCAAACGATGGAAGATATCGTCCCGCTGGCGATGGTAAATATCGTGGTGGCAATGATGGCAAATATGTCCATAAGGACGTAAAATATGTTCACGATGATCGTCCTGGAGGATTATATTCGGGTGATGCCAATCCCTATCAGCCGGATAAAAATCGATTTGGTCCTGGTGGTGGTGGAGGCGGAGGTAGTGGTGGCGCTGGAGCTGGTTCTGCCAATGCTGCTGCAAATGGCGGAAATACAGCTAGTGGATCAGGAGTTAAAAAACCATCATCGGGAAGTGGAGGAATTTTGGCTGCAGCTGTAACTGCAAAACCATTGCCCAAGGGTAAAGGTAGTGGTGAGGGGAAAAATGGTTGGGCCATCATACGTTTGGAAGACAAGGTCGAAGAGGATGGTTATCATTACTTGTAAGTATGATTTAACAGATCGTTAAGGAGATTGTGAAAAATTATTGAATGGTGAAACAAAAATGGAAATTCGGATACAGAAAATCTGTGACAGTTTCAGTCGTGTCTGGATATTGCTAACTAATTCTTAGGCCTAAAAATTATCTCTAAAACCTTTTTGAGGGGTTTCACATTTCCATCATGTTCTATCATCAATTTGTTGCTACGGTGTAAAATAGAATGTTCACAACTGTTAACAATATAAACAACAGTTTCTGATTTTTTTAAATTAAAATTCTTGGGCAATAAATAGAAGATAGTTTCAAATATTCTTTCTTACCTGCGTTAAATTGTCTTCGTTATTGGCGGATATTCTTCGTTAGTGCAACTTCGAAAGAATCATAAAACTTAAAAATTCTGCATGAGCCCGGTTGCGATTTGAACCAAAGTTCCTATGGCATTTTTCGATTGTTGTCCGCCTTAGCGTTCAAAGCCACCCCTTATCTTCGTAAGTTGGCACAATATACAGTTCTATACCACGAAAAAAGAAATTTGTAAGTTGTATGAAAAAAAGTCCATCAATACAAAAAAAAATCTGCTCTGAAAAGGGATACCAAATGTCCAAACCATGACACGGTTGAATTTGAATAACTGAAAATGTTATATGGAAATGTAAATATTAACATAATTATAACATTTATGTTAACAGAATCTATAACTGTGTTGCCTTGCTATAAAATGTTAAGAGTAATAACAATATTAGCCTAAAAGTATGCAAACATTTTTTAGATCTCAATATGAAGTTCATTACAATATTAACCCTTAATCTTGATTACAATTTTAATATTATTGGCAGGTATGAAACTGAAAATGGTATTTTAGCAGAGGAAAATGGACGCATTGAGGCCCTTCAAACTGATCCTGGTCTTCGCTCTAAGGGATTTTACGAATATACCGGTGATGATGGTAATCTATATCGAGTAGAATATACTGCCGATGATAATGGTTTTGTGCCACAAGGTGATCATTTGCCAGAGGTTCCACCACATATACCTAAATTATTGGCTTATTTAGCCGCAAATGCTTCAAACAAAAAGTAAATTATCCTTCATCTATATAAATTGTTTCATGTAAATAATAAACTATTTGTTTTGGTCCTTATTAATAAATTTATAAATAATAATTGGTAAATTAACGTGTGTCTATTGTAAATTCAATACTGGGAAATATAAATTGTTAATACTCAGAATTAACTGATAAACAAATGTCAACGGCTAGGAAAATCCACAACAATAATAGGTACGATATGATAACTAAATAAAATCCTGCGTTTAATGGGACACCCCATTATCGGAGTCATTTTTTTTTTTTTTTTTTTTTTGGATTTAATTAGGATCTACACTAATTCAAGAATGTCCCTACAAAAAGTGAAAATCTCAAGAACTCTTGAAGATATAGCCCATTTATTGTGTCAGCATCAAGTGACGGCTGAAGGGCTTCTCCAACTTTAAACGCGCTTTTCTCTTATGCGAATGGCGGGCACGATAACTCAAAAACTAATAACCCTATCGATTCCAAATTTTTACACGTTTCTCTGTGAGTGTATAGCTATCGTATGAACTAAAGTCAATCGGTGAAGATCTTCCTTATTTTTTAACTTGGTTTTTGGTCACAAATCGGCGATTTTTCAAAAATATTTTTTCAAAGGGCCGCCATTTTGTTAATTTTAGAGCGAAGTCAATAATCCTAGTTCATACGAGAGCCAGACATCTACTCTTTCTAAATAATTCGGATTCCGATGTTCCAGTGAGGAGTTATCATGCCCGCCATCAAAAATAAGGACATTTCTTTAATAACAAAATAAATCAACAAGACAACAACAAAATTTTTTTGTAAATTATTTTTCTTATTTTTAATCTTCAAATATGTATCTGCAAAGTTACAAACCTTCGTCTATAATTTAACCATAAAACAACGCTTGCAAATAATTGAATTTTATTACGAAAATTCATTATGTCCCACTGAATGGCTTTTTGGGCTATCGTAACCGAACGACCTACCGCAACGTATAATTTTTGGTGAATGCGCTCTTCAAAACTTTATCGAAAACATATATTCAGCGACGATGCCTCGATGTATACGCAAATAAACAGAATTCTCAATTTTGGAGTAAGTAAGAAACATTACATACATTTCCGACGTATAATACATACGTCAGAAACGTCGGAAACCTACTTTTTTGACAAAATAGCCATTTCCATTAATCAATCATCATTTTATACAGGTATATGACGTTTTTGACAGTCGAAAACTTAAAAATTCGTCACACGGGCCATCCCTGGTGTGCAGAGATGGTCTGTCAGAAACAGTGAAGTAAATGACATACATTTCCGACGCATAATACATACGTCAGAAACATATGCCTTACTCAAATCCATATATAATTTGAAAATTTTCTTTAGAAGTTTGTGTCAGTTCTAGTAAGGAATAGTCAGATATATGTAAAAATAATATATATTCTTGAAAATAACTGTATAGGTGATAATATTGAAATAAATGACGTTTACTACATTTTATACATTTCATACAGGTATATAACGTTTTCGACGTTTACACCTTTTTGACAGTCAAAAAACTAAAAATTTGTCAAACGGACCATCCCTGGTTGTGTGCTACATGCCACACAGCACACCTAACAATGGACTTATCGGGAGGCGAGTTTAATTTGAAGATACTATTGAACCATTTATTCGTTGGAAATAGTATACCAAAAATCGACTAAACGCATAGACAATTTTAGTCGCAGTCGTGCTCAAATTTTTTATCAAATATTCTTTAAGCATTAAATTATATGGGCCGACCAATTGAAAAAAAAATGTCATGCATTTTTCTGATTTTTTTATAGCCTACAAAATTATGTTTGATCCTAGACCCACCTATAAGTATACCGATCATATCTCGACTAGCTGAGTCCGTACGTCCATTATAAACACGATACAGACCACAGTTATGGGCCGATCGTCACAAATTTTTGCATGTAGGACAGGGTCTGGCCAAAGAAGACCCGTTTTGTTTTTGGTAATGATCCGTTAATACTTTGTTTTTGTCTACTTTTGAGGTCGCTCTAGAGATCATAATTATGACCCGAATAACACGAAATTTTACACAGAGAGCAAGGTATAGAGGTCAAATGGACCCAGACTTTTATGTTAAAAATGACAATTTGTATTCTGGTGTGTATATATTTACTCCTGAAGGACATAGAGCCGAAATGTTGATAGTATACTCAAGACCAGTGTACTCGGATGTGGGAGTTATACATAAATATTGAAAGGTGTTTATGTTTTATAATATTGTTTAGTATTATTTTACACCTCTAGAGGGCGGTTAGCTTTGAAATTTTACATGAAGTACCGGTTATGTCAAGGACGACGCTTATAATTTTGGGTGATGTTGAGATCATATTTATGTCACATATTTTACACGGGGAAAGAGATATGGCCAAATACTTAGAACGGCTGTTTAGATGATGATCGGTCGATATTCCGAGGGTCAAATCAACCAAAACCTAAAGTGGCAAAATTGTTTATTTTATAGCGTAAATATTCACCTCGGGATAACAAGATGTGGAAAATATGCCACGGTCAAGAGGGTTCAAATATCGCGAATTATTGTTCAGGCTCTGAATATAGTTGTGTAGGGTATCATGCGGTCGGCCTCGTCCGGCTATACTGCTCCACTCACTGGTTTATGTTTTGAAAAACCTTATTTGTAGCTTTAAAAAAATGTGTCATTATATGGAGGTTGCAACGATATTGAGTACACTTTAAAAAGCCAAAAGCACATAAGTGGAAATTGGTACAATCTATCTAACTATACTGAAGTTTGACTATTCCAATCGAATTTCCTGTAATTTGATATTTTTCGTTCTTTGTGTTTAGATAACTTTCAAACCATAGACACAAAAACACATAAGATTATATCCAATATAACCTCCTAACCGGCCAATTTTTTACACACTTCTGCTAAAAAATGAGTCTGTAACTAAAATATTTTTAATCAACTGATACATTTTCAATGTATTTTCCCACAGCAACATCATAAATTTTCTTTCTACGGATATTTACCTTTAGAACCGAGTTTTTAATAAATTAAGCTGTCATTGAATTATTTTCTGAATTATGATTGTAGAAAACATTCTGAGAGATGAACAAGATGGCTTTAGACCAAATAGAACTGTGTGAATGAGACCAACAACATACGAATTATAATAGAACAATGTGTAGGGGGCGCACCCCCTGCTCATCAACTCCCAAAAGGGAATAACTCAGAACATAATACAAGGATGCAGAACTCCCAGTTCATTACAGAAAACATCATTCTACAAGTCAAGCAATTGAACACTTCGATAGCTTCTGCTATCTTGGAAGCACTGTAACAATAAATGGCTGTGTCGAAACGGATGTAATCAATAGTCTAAATGGCCATAGAATAACCAGAATGGCGCTTGAATGGAAACCCTTAAGAAACAATAACCCTTGAACGAAGACAGAGGGCAGACATTTTGTCAACATGTATATTATGTTAGCTGTCAGAAGAGTGTATACTCCAAATTTTATTGTTTTTCAAAATCTATTCAATTGTCGTAGCAGTTTTTCCACTCCGATTATAACTCCTCTAAAGCATTGTTTTAGAATGCTTCAACAGCATCTTCTGTCGTCAAAAATCGTGAATCACTTATTTCCTATTCATCTATCAATTTTGCGTTTTGACCGACTAGAATTTCGTTAGATTTGGTTCGTTTTGGACTTCCACGTATAGAACCTGGATTCGTCACTGTTTAAGATATTTTCAAACAATGCGATGTTTTTTTTCAAAATTACTTTTCACTAACCGACATGATCGTTTTTATGCATTTTAAAAATTGCAGGATCTTACGATATTAAACGTTTATTATACCTAGATGTTCATGAAATATCGGGTATATGCTGGTCGAAGAAATGTTCAGGGATGACTCTAACCCACAACTGACCATTTTAATTTATAGAATATTAATATAATCAAATTTATATAATCTAATAAATGAATAATAATAAATGAAATGTAATTGTGAAAATTGAATTTTGTCGTTTTTCCTACCACAAAACTCACTCCAATGACAAATTCGAATTAATTTAGCACCTCAGCAGAAATTAAAACTAATTGAAGTAATTTAAAACAAATATATGTTAAAGTATTTAAAATTGCCAGATCAATACAATAATTCAGAAATATTTATTACGAGTATTAAACATATTTACAGTGAATATAACTTCATTTATTTACGATTATGTTTAATTAAATTATAAGCTTCTGCAACAACAATAAAATACAAAAACCACATTCTTTACAGCCAGCCACTTACAATGTTGGCAAGATATTCACTTCTATATATTCCAAAACATCTTTGATGGCGTTCTTCAGGTTTTCATTCTGAAAAATATAAGAAAGCATGCAAATATATTAATTCATTTAAAAATTATATTGCAATAAATTTATAAAATCGTTCCAAAGAACAATTTTTTAGTGTAAAGCATGAACTAACTATAGAAGTTGAAACTAATCCAATCGAAATTCGAAATGAAATTGTGGAAAATGTCTGCGTCATTGAAATATAACATCCGAAGTTCCGAACAAAGGCATTGTATTAATGTTGGAAAAATTTATACTGACATATTAGGTTGGGGAAAAAATAAATCCCTAATGTATCGATCAAACCATTTCAGATTTATGATCAGGGTGACATTTCGCAGTAAAAAAAAAAATTGTTTGCTATTTTTTGTTTGGTGCATTTAGTTGTGAGTTACAGGGTGTTAAAAATGGATGTGAACAAAGAGAAAATTCGCTACATTTTACTGTTTTTCTTTGGCAAAAGCGAAAATGCAAGCCAAGTGGCTAAAATTGTGAATGGTGTTTATGGTTTCGATACTGTAACAGACAATTATGTGCAATGTTGGTTTCGTAGATTCCGTTCAGGAATTTTTGATGTTAAAGATACACCTCGCTCAGGGAGGCAAAATGTTATAAACCATTTACACAAAAAATTGTTTTCTTTTTCCCCAACCTAATATTAATAAAAAATGTGTCTATCTAAGATATTTCCAAGAAAATTCAAATTTTTATTCATTATTTTATTTATTCATATAAGCACTCCACCACATGGTGTGCATTTAAAATTCCTTATATAGGTCGAGACCTTTATATGTTATTGTATTATATGATAATAGGGTTTTCAATATTAAACGGGAGGTTTAAGTTGGTCTATTTTATTGAATTTCTGGAAGGAAGCTTTTTAATCCCCAGAAATCCGACATGTCAAATCAAATCCACTTCGATGAGAAATTTCGATTAACACGTTAATGATACCGAAAAAGGGTCTGGACCCTTATGGGGGTCTACTTGGCTATATATAGACAATTTTCTGATCAAAATCTGATCCACCCTACAATATTCGGAATGCCAAATTACAGCCCCAACGATGGGAAAATATTTTTGGCAAAATGATATCGATATTTGTTGGTAAAGAGATAATAAAATTAATGAGAATACAAAAAGAGAAAAAGGCGTGATACAGAAAAAGGGTGTGGACCTTTATGGGGGTCTACTTGGTTATATATAGACAATTTTCAAAATATGATCAACCCTACAATATCCGGAATGCCAACGATGGGAAAATATTGTTGGTAGAAAGATATCGATATTTGTTGGTACGGAGACCATAAAATTAATGAGTATACAAAAAGAGAAAAAAGCGTTAAGTTCGACAAAGCGGAACTTTGGATACGCTACACCATAAGTAACATGAAATTAAAGTTCCAATCCAACGTAGAACGATACTATAGCGAATGTCCTTGGGAAGTATGGTTAAAACTTTCCATGTAATAAAAAATGGGTGGGATATTTGTGTAGGGCATATTACAAAAAAATAAACCTGCGCAAACAATATTTTGAAAAGATATATTGTAAACTACTGACAACCACAAACATTAAATTACAGTCAAAAATATTAATTCTTAATATTTTCATCATAGAATAATGGGGGATATATGAAACATACATACCGACAATTATACCAAACTATTTTGTAAGCCATAATGCACATGAAATACAATTTTCAGAAATTATTAATGGATTTTTAACCTTAAATATCAAAACCCCAAATCGTGGCCCGATATTGAAAAGGGTACATCATGTGTATAAAATCCTCAAAGTACTGACATTTACAATCCAAAGTTATATGTGCGGCAATACCTAAGGGTGATCAATATTGATTACATCGTGTAGGAATTATCATTATATGAAGGCCTACGCCTAATTGCTTAATTTCGAATAGCTCAATTTTGAACCTAAAACCTTCCTTCACCCTAAATATCGGTGGGAGTAGTCCCTATATAGGCTTAAATGCTGGTCGATAAAATTCATTCTCGAACCTGACGTGCTAGTTTTCTATCTCGATATCCTCCGAAGGTAGAATGATTACAACAGATGGCTAAATCGACTAAATCGCATTAGAATACCATACTTTGGAGGGTGTACGCTGACAATTTCGAATACGGCTATATGGAGACAACCGCAAAACACGGAACAAATGAGTTAACTATTTTAATATATAAAAGGGACTATCCCTAAAAGAGGGCGAATATAAATAATTTTTTGTGAGGGAGGTTGGTAACAAATACGACTACAAAATACCAACTTACCACGAATTCGGTTGAAAAACCAACTGAAACCTCTTTAAAACACTCAAAATACTCGAAATGTCTAAACGTAGACTGATATAGCTCATCTTCGAACTTGATCCTCCTGCAGACAAAAGACAACTCTATGAGTTACAAACGGCAATACAAACTTTATATAGTCTTCATACCATGGTAGATGGTATAAAAAAAACAGCCAATTTGAATGACACATGTGGCCAATGTCTTCAGAATACTGAAATTTCGGATGTAGTGTTATATGTGGGGCTACCAAAAATAGTGGACCGATACTGTCTACAGATTTCCTTTTGCAATAATAAAAACACTTATAATCAGTATTATCTCCACATTGTAATTGTATGTGTGGTAATGGTATTCTATATTGGTCTTAAACCAATATAGAATACCATAAATATATAAATGCCTGTCAATTAACGCATATAGCAAATAACATGTCACATTTTCCGATCAAAAAAGACACCTATAGTTTTTCGCGATAATCGATTATTCCTAAGGAAATCAAGCCGACCAACAAAATTTTGTTAATTTTTCTTAATTTTCTAGCCGTACTACAGGGCAAAGAAATTGGTTAAGGGAACTAAGTTAAAAAATGAGGAAGATCTTCATCGATTGGCTTTATCCTAGTTCATACGATAGCTATATACTCACAGAGAAACGTCCCAAAATTTGAAATCAAGTTAGTTATTAGTTTTTGAGTTATAGTGCCCGCCATTCGCAAAAACGCTGTTTGGAGAAAACGTGTTTAAAGTTTGAGAAGCCTTCTAGCTGTCACCTGATGCTAACACAATAAATCGGCTATATCTTCAAAAATTGTTGAGATTTTCACTTGAAAATTTTTAGTGACATTCTTGAATTAGTGTAGGTTCAAATTAAATCAAAATAAAAAAATTAAATTTTTTGAAACCGAGAATGGGTGGGGTCCCCTTAAATGAAGCATGACTTTTTCTGCATCAATTTACATTTTATGCTATAAACAATTTAATCTTAACTGACGTTGATTGTTCCTTAGTCTCAATATAATACCAGAAACGCTTTGTATAAAATTCTTCTTCGCAATAGTTTTGCATGGGACCAACATTAGAAATTATTTCTAAAAGTGTTAATGAATATATTCAAAAGTTCTGGAAATTTATGGGCAGACCTCAAATATTTGTTGAACGCGATATGACAAAATAAATATCAGCTCTTTTCATTCTGAAAGATTAATAATACATAGGTTTTGTAATGATTGACCAATAATCATCACAGCAAGACATGCTAAATTCCAATTAATAAAAATTTGTATTAAGCTATTAAGTCCACTATCATTTTCAAAGCGTGAGAAACAGCTGGACACAAATTAAAAATTGTGCATTGACTTACATTCGATTTATCTTTATTATCCGTAACTGAATAGTCGTAACCCTTGACTTTGTCGTATTCTCCATCAATGTGAGCATCACTTTCTTCATCAGTTCCCTTAGTTACCGATTCACTGTCATCATCAGCAGGTGGTGAATAGGCTCTGCCATTACCATTATTTCCGCTAAACAATTGATTTTCGTTGACGAAATTAAATTGATGACTTTCATCACCGTCCTTCAGCCATTCGAATTTAATTATCTGCCAACCACTACCTTCGTAATTAAAATCGACCATGAAGCGCAAACGATCCTTTTCGCTTAAGGGCAATATGCCAGGACCACCATCGGATTTAACAACGAAAATATTGCCACTAGCATCGTGTACATATTTAAGGCCACGATCACCATAACCGCCATCATAGGGACGATGTATGTGTACATATTTGCCGCTATCGTCTGGAACCCATTTGCCACGGAGACCACCATGTAATTCGGGTACATAACGTCCAGGTTTTATTGTTGTGATTGTATCCTGCGGCATACTCATGACCGAGTTCAGCAACATTGCAATTAATATAATTTGTATTAGAACTTTATATCCTTGAAATTCCGACATTTTCACTTTTATTAAATCCTAAATTATTTTGCGTCTTTTTGTATTTATAGAAACTATTTCGAAATATATAAAAAAGTGTGTGAATGCTTTACGTTTTACCAGAAGACTATTTCACAATTGTTTCATATGAAAAGATTACACTATGCATTTTTTCTATGGATTTTCAAAACAACTTCTGCGAAATAAACAAACATGTCAATATATTTATCAATTTTATTTGGTTATTATTACAATTACAACTAACTGCTTGCGTATAATAGGTGTGTTTGTTCTATGAACACCCTATACTGTCAAAATAAAAATTTCAAAATACTAACATAATAACAAAACATAATACTAACACTAACATAACATCTATCAAATTACAATTTGGCCGACTTTCCCAATCTATATCTAAAGTAAACTATTGTTGTTAATTTAATATGTTCCAAAACGGCGAAACTGATTATCCTGAAATTTTCGCAAAATTTTGTTGTTGGATTACTGTTTTAGTAGAATTAGACTATTTTAACCATAATCGAAATTTCGAGGGTATCTCCCATATCTTAGAAACCGGCTGAGCAACGTAGGCAGCCAACTCTGAGTGGTTCTCCAAAAAATTTAGCTTGAAATGTTGTCACGCGTTCCCAATATTTATACTTTACACAATTTTAAAAATTGTAGTTTCTTACTCAATTATCTGGCTCTAGACAGAACATTTGTTCCATAAGCCGAGCTTAAAAAATATTTCCAGGTGCGTTGGTCTTCTGCACAGCTCATCCAATTTAAAAGACCATGTTCCGAGATGTGGTCTTCAACTTGATCTTTCCATCGGATTCGTGGCCTTCCACTTCTGCGTGAACCATCAGCTGGCTCCCTTTTATAGAGTAACTTCGGGAAATGGTCACTATGCGTCTAATGTGGACCACCCCCATAACCTAAGAAAATGCTTGAAATATGTCAATGCCGCCTTGATATATGTTTTCCTATTTAGTAAAAACATACGTCTAACATGCTTTTTAGTACATAATTGCAATGTTGAAACTTAAGTTAAGCTCTTATTGAGATCTGTGATTTGAAAAATTTTTATGACAAGAATCAAACCATTTGCTTTTCTCAATTATAACGAAGTTATATAGAACTTTATTTATTTTTTTTTTCAATAAAAGTGTACGTTTAGCTGTAATTAAAGTCGGTTAGTTTTAATTTTTATTTATTTTTTAAGCCAACAAATATTTATACCCTACATAACTATGTTGTCAGGGTATTATAGCTTTGTGCAGCCCCAAGAGTTTGTAACGCCACGAAATATTGGACCTAGGCCCACCTTTAAGTATACCGATCGTCATATCTCGACTAGCTGAGTCGATCTAGACATGTGTGTCCGTCCGTTCGTCTGTCCATTATATTTTGTAAACACGATACAGGCCACAGTTATGGACCAATTTTCACGAAATTTTGCATATAGGATGGGTTCTGGCCAATGAAGACCCCTATTGTTTTTGGTAAAGATCGGTTAATATCTAGGGGATGAAATGGACCAAATACTTAATTTTTATCGGTTTTTCTGGTCGCTCTAGAGGCCGCAATGACCCAAACATCGCGAATTTTTACATAGAGAAGGGGACCGGCCAAAGAATAAGCATGCCTGTTTTGATAAAGATCGGTCAATATTTAGCGGGTCAAATGTACCCTGACTTTTGTGTGAAAAATTACAAAATTTGTATTCTATAGCGTATAGATTTACCCCTGAAGGTCATAGACCCGAGAAGTTGATAGTATATCCAAGAGGGGTGGTTGACCTTTAAATTGAATTAAAGTGCATTGTCGTATATACTCGGATGTGCGATTTACACTTAAATGTTTACAGGTGCTTACCACACTAGAGGTCGGAAATATAGCGCTGATCGCTTTGAAATATTCCATGAGGTTCCAGTTATGATCAAGTACAACGCCTATAACTTTTTTGACGTTCAGATAATTATACTGTGATGAAGTGGACCGAACACTTAATTTTTTGTGTTTTTTCGAGTCGATCTATAGGCTCCATGGATCACAATACAAGGGAAGGGAATCTGGCCAAGTAAAAAGGCTGTACTGAACATTAGTAATAATTGTCGGCCTCTGGTTGGTCCAGATGGTTAAAAAATCGCGAAATATTGCCCAAGCTCAGAATATAGATCCACAGAAAGTTAGTTTTTCGAAGAAGTTGTGTAGGGTATCATATGGTCGGCCCGTCCGACTATACTGCTCCGCTCACTGGGTTTAAATAAAAAAATGCAAAGTCGGGTAATGTGGACCACTATAAAAAACGGGGCATTTTGATGGGGACAAGTTCCAAACATGGCCCCATATTAAAAACATTTCTATGAGGAGGTATTCTATCATCTGAAAACTCGATATGCGAAATTACAGCTGCTTCGGTTGGATATTGATGCTAGGACCTTCAAAATACTGCAAATGGGGCGGTACCCTTAAATGGGGGCTATTCCAAAAAATATATGAGTTCATGCCCATATTTTTTGCATTTCATAGTTACCCGATATTGCAATAAATTGAAATTTATCACAACTAATCCACAACCTACCTTTTAACTTGCTGGTCCACATTACCCGCACACACTGGTCCACATTACCCGCACATACTGGTCCACATAACCCGCCACATACATTTTTATAGTCAAATATATATAATGTTTGACCTGAAATATATTTAGACGACAAATCTACTATGTAGTGAAAACAATATGTTTTAATTTTTTACCGTTGGTACGCCCACAATATCAAAAAAAAAAAAAATGGTGGTCCACATTACCCGAAGTTACACAATGTCTTTTGAGCTGGGGCATCCGCATCCATTCTCATAACATGAACTAGCCTATGTCTAGGCCATGTACAGCTCATAGTTCATTCGACGCTGATATTCACCGTCGTCGCAGATCTCTCAAACACTCTAAGAGCAGCCTCATCTGCTAGCGCAAGTACTCATGCTTAATGCACGGGTAGTATCAGCGTCTTGTAGACGCTGAGTTTGGTCTGCCATAAAATCTATAGCCATAACATAATAACATCTATTGGCCAACACTACTCTTCTCCGGATTTCAAAGCTGATGTTATTAGTTTTGCTTGTGGCGGTACGGAGGTATATAAAAAATCATTCACTATTTCAAAGCTATATTTTTCCTGTTCCACTGGACTTCTTGCGCGTTGATACCAACAGTTTAGTCTTCTCGCCATTTACTTCTCAATTCGTTCAAAGATGGCTGTTACCACTGGCAATGTTCGACCCATTATGTCGCTGTCGTCGACGTAGGCGAGTAACATATGCTGTTTGGTGTACGGAGTGTCATTTATGTTCCCCCTTGCATCTAGCAGGATGTTAATAAGGTCACACGACAAACTGTCATCTTGTCTGAATCCTCGTTTGGTATTGGGGGGATGTCTTTCTCTAGCCAAATTGTTCTAATCAGTTGGTACATGCTCCTGATCAGCATCTGACCACCGGTCTTGAATAGTTCGGCTGGTAACTCATCGCCACCTGTTGCTTTATTACTCTTCAGCCGATTATTTAATACTCTGAACTCATCTTAACTAGGTGGTATACCATCTACACCATCATCTCGTATTGGTTCTGCGGTATCTTCTTCACCGCCACTACTTGATACCAGAAGCTGTATGTGTCATCAGCCTTCGGTTTGGTGATTTACTCATTGGTAAAATTTTCGGACTTCGTTCTGACTCCTTAACATCTCGATTTGGTTACGTTCGCGTTTTGATTGTTCTTTCTTCTTTTTTTAATAATTTAATTTTCCCTCCTTTTTCCCTATAATTCTCTCTCGCATTGGCTGTCTGCAGGGTTGGCCTACACCCTGCGTTTTTCACCTTTATAGTTCATATGGGCGAACTCGCGGCGAATATCAGCTCACTATTTCAACGGGTGTTGAAGGTAGCTACCCCAGGTGACACAGCGGGGAGGTCAGTGTACACAATTGAGATGAAAGAGGGGCCAAGATATGCCTGAGATGAAAGCAATAACAGCCGTTGAATTTTTGAATATTGTACAAATTTCTATTTTAAGGATTTTGGATACGTTTTCTCAAAAAAAAAAAAAGAAACGGCAATTTGGCATTTAGATTCTTATTAGGTAGTGAATTTCCTCAGTATACTTCAAATAATGGTACTAATTAGTAATACTCTCCATCATAGTACGGTAGTTGACTTTCCTCTAAAATCGGGCATACAGGACAAGTTCGAAGATGGACTTTATCGTCGACTTTGTACTCGCTATATTGACCAATATTCTCTGTATTGATTTGAATCCATTTTCCAACCGAATTGTGTAGAATTTAAGTTTTAGGGTTATCATTCGATATCTCTACTTAATTTCAGGAGAGTACGATGTTGTCCCGTGGCTGGAGGAATGACGTGCCATTCGTCAGTAGCGTGTTATCTGGCGAGATATTATTATCCTATTTTATCCTTCTGGTGTGTGGTTTGCACATAAGGAGAGACCAAGGCGAAGCATCCCAATAACGGTTGACACGAAGTCCATGGTTAATTGGACGTTTTATACCTATTTTCATTTCCAAATATGTTACTTCCAACCGGCATTGACCTCCATTCATATTTATTTTCATTTCCAAATATGTTACCTCCAACCGACATTGACCTCCATTTATATACAAAACGTTGCTAGACCATCGTCATATGCCGATAATAGTTCTACCAGATTTAAAAATAATATTGAAACGTCAATTAGAATATGACAACCGGCCAGTCAATTAGATTATCCAATAAATGTGAAGAATTTAATATGTGAAGATAACAAATTGCATTTGAATGAAATTCCTTTTCTTATCTTCGAATATCACATGGCAACGTAACAAATGTTTCTTTTTTTTTTGTTTTTTGTTTAAAATTAATTGCATTAAGGTGGGTATTTAGCATATCATTGTGGCCTGGGAAAGGGATATTACTCAAGTTGACAGCGATCTTGGCTGTCGTAGCCAGTAAATGAACTGT